GCACCCAGCTTAGGTTGAAGAAAAAGAAAACCATTAATAGTATGGCTATGTTTCTGTCACACAAACACACAAACACACAAAAACTGACATTCTACCATTAATTTCCATAAATCTTTTGGGTCATACACTCTTGTTAATTCATCTGAGAAATGGTTGACTTGATGAGTAATGTAGTGTGTTGTGAATGCATTGTAGAACATCTAATTAAGCCTATCTCACACCTCCAGAGAGCTGTCAAAATGAGATCTCAATTCTTACAGCTCTCCAAGGGAAATGGCAAAACCACATAATAGCAAAACAACTGGCACTTGCTCCTGTGAAATTATCATTACTTTAGCTCTTGCCACTTATAAAAGGTCAGGCTCAGTCTCTTGAACATTTTATGGAACTATTCCTATCTTCAGAAATGTAGAAGTGTTCCAGTGCGAGCTACCTCGTATGTGTCTTAAAGCAGAGCATGCAGTCCATTACCAGAGGCGAAAGGCTGTCATTTGATTGAACTCCGATTGCCAGAGCCCTCTTGAGAGTGTCTGGACTTGAGAGTGAGAGGCTCTGAGGGCAAGTTTCAGAGCAGTGATCTATATCAGACGAGCAGTGATCCTTAGAGGATTGTGAGGCTGATAGGGTTTATAAGACGTTCTGCATCATTTGTTTTCTGGTATGGGTGAGAGCTAAAGCAACAGCGTTAACCGCTTATCCTATAAATGAAGATACAGCACAATCAGAGGTGATGGGAAAGAGGTAACTCAGCCAAAACACCTGATATTTCCCTGGCTACTTCCTAATAGCGGGAGAAAGAGAAAGAAGGAATTGAAAAATAGCTGTCAACATCTAGTTGTGGTTTGCTGATACTCCCCTTGGCCATAGTGGGTTCAAGGACAGGGTATTCCCAAAGAAGATTCTTCTACACCTCCAGTATAAGCTGCTCTGTAAATTTGTGTTTAGTATCAGGGGTTTTCATTTAAGGTCAATGGGATGTATGAGGGAATCTTGAGGCTGGATCACTAATGTCCACTGAAACATCAAAACAAAGCTGAGAGCCTGAGTATTCTCTTTAGTCCTCATGAAAAAAAAAGTCTACCAACAAAAAAGCCTTCGTTCTCATATAAGAACATTGAATATTGGCCGGAATACCGCTCCAGTGCTGCGAAACCCCCTTAAAGGGGTCATATGATGCGATTTCAATTTTTCCTTTCTCTTTGGAGTGTTACAAGCTCTTGGTGAATAAAGAAGATCTGTAAAGTTGCAAATACTAAAGTCTCAAATCCAAAGAGATATTCTTTATAAAAGTTAAGACTTGTCCACGCCCTCCTAAAACGCCTCGTTTAAACACGCCCCCACATGTCTACATCACTGTGTGGGAAGATTTGCATAACACCGCCCAAATGTTCACGCAAAGAAAAAAGGCGTAACTTTTATTCTCGCTGTAGTACTGTTGTTGCCGCGGCCGCCATGTTGTGGAGATGCTGTGTGTTTCATTGTGAAAGCGAAACTACTTTGTTTGGCCTTCCGAAAGAGGACGATATCCGCTTCATCATGCCTAGAGCTGATCCGTGCTGGTCGCTGAGGAAATACATCAACTTCGCGCTGTGGATCGCCGGATCGGCTTTCACCGTGGACAAAGTGGAGTCCAGCCCGGGGTCGTCACACGTGGTTGACACAAGCCCGCCGGCCGCTCCTTTGTCGAATCCGCCTGCTGCGCCGTTCTCAAGTCCGCCGGCCTCCGCTCACTCTAGCCCGCAATGTGTGACGCTGTGTGACGCATTTTATGGAGGACTGTTTCCTGAACCTGCAGTTCTGCATAGCCTACAATGGGTCTGTGCTCAAAGGCTGTTCTATAAAGTGGGGCAGTTCCAACTTTGCAAAGGACAGTCTGGCGCTTCGACTCACAGCCTGTAAGTACGTTTTTTATATTTAAAGAATTAGCCACTGACGATTCAAACGCGAGTTTGAGCAGTGTAGAATAGCGCTTGTTGTTTGTCATTTCTCCGATCACAAATGCAGACAGAGTTTTATGTTTACGCGGCG